ATCGTTATCTTTTTCTCATTAACCACACCTCCAAATTCTCCATTTTTCAATCCATTTTCTGAATGTGGGTGTGGTTTTCTCATTTTGGACATTTTTAGTATCCTAGAGACTTGGGCACATTTTTTTGTAAAAAAGTATGACATATTGGGAACGCATTATTAAACCCAAAATTTTTTTGAATTAATGAGAATGTTGAAGCAGAATTTTTTGGAAAAAAAATCATAATTTTAGGTCATTTAAATTGAAAATTCCCTTTCAAAAACGTTGTTTAGGCTTTAATGGTTTTTTTATCGACCCATTCGGCCGATCGAAATTTTATCTAGGGATAAAGTTTCAGATCATAAAGAGGCACTCTCGCAGGTCCCGGCAGGCCCGGGGCGGGCCTGCTTCTTTTTTGCTCCTTTAGCTCTGTAACTCTGTCCATAGACAAGATACAGTATTCCAAATAATACCGTTTTGTAGTACTCGTGGAGCTCTATCATACCTAATTGAGTTGGTTCGAGAAACATTGATTCTGAAAGAAGTTATGGCAGGGCCCGCGAAGGCCCGGCAAAGGCCCGGATTACAAGTATGGCTGAAACTGAAAATTTTTAAATACAAATGTTTCAAATTGGAGCAATTTCTAAAAGTTTAAAAATTCGAGAGCTCAAAACTCAAAAGTCAATTTCCATATTTTGAACTGTATTATAATAAAAAAATAAAACGCTTTTAGGGTTATCAAAAGAAGCAGGAATTTGCAAGAATCAAAATTTTCCAAAAAAAAGGAACAAAAAATGGAAAAAAGGGAAAAACTGAAATTCCAAGTTTCACACAGTGCAGATGATTTCAAAAATACTGAGCGCACCATTTACTGATGCGAGATAATCTGACAATAGAATTATCACAAATATCAAACATAATGAAGTTTTAAACAATACAGAAGTCATGTCAAATCTTCTTACAGTGGCAAGACTAAAAGTTTTGAAAAAGTTATTGAATCAGTGAAACACTGATTTTTTTTCTATCAATTGATACGAAATTTTAAGATTGCTGTTGGAGCCCATGAGAACAGAAAAATAGTTGAGAAAATAAAAAATTACCTTCAAAAAGGCTCTAAACGCTAACCTAAACACCTTAAATTCTCTAATAGAATGGTTTTTTTTCTTGAGCTCAATCATCTCGGTTCTTGTGAAAGATATCAAAAATTTTTCAACTAAAAAAACTTGGTTTATGATATTTTGATAAACATTTTATCAGTTGGCCAATTTTTTACACTTCTTCTAGGAAACAAGATAATTGAGTTCAAGATGCAAGTACAAACCCACTCGTTTTTATAACACTACATAAGAAACTTGCCTCAATGTTATTGAAAGCTATTGAAACAGTAAAAATTTAAAATTTTTTTAGCTTACAATCTAACCGAAAAGTTTGAAATGAGCCCCTTTGGAGCAAATAACTGAGCTAAGCGAGCTTACAACTGATTTATTAGCTTAAAGAGAATCAGCGAAATTTTAACTTTAAGCAATAACAATAACAATAACACATTCAAAATGCGTCCCCCGTAAATTTTCCGAGAGAGAACACATTCCGACCAATTAATAATAACTTCTTCACGCAGCAGAATCCCACACCTCCTCCTTTGACCCGTATTAAGGAGAGAAAAGGGGAGGAGGAGGGGGAGACCGTAATTTGTAAGTCAGTCAACTTCAAAATGAATCTATACTATTAGAAGAGAGAAAAAGAAGAAGAAGAAGATGAAGACGTGTGGAGAGAAAAGATGCGCGAAGGTCGAATATTTATGGGAAGAAGAAAGGTGAAACGGGTGGAGAGAGAGAGAGAGAGAGAGAGAGAGAGAGAAAGCCAAGGGATGGCTTCTAGTAATCGGTAGCCCAGACTCCTAAAAATGGAAAATCTGAAAATCATGGATTTTTCAAAAATATTTTTCATCATTTTCTGTTGGGACGAGAAAATCTAAAATAAAAAATGGTTCGGCTTTAAAAAAAAATTGAGTCAATGAAACTGAATTTTTGTGTCAAAAAAAATGTTTCAAATATTCCATATTTATATTTCCACTAAATATAAAATTTACTATGTAATATGCACCAAAAAGTCCCAAAAAATCTTAAATCAGTAATTGCTATTCCCATAAACATCCATTGAAAATTTCCTTTAAAAAAAAGTCTATTTCTATTTTGAAGCTGATGATTTTTGGAAATTTTCGAATTTTTCTAGAAAAAAAAAGAACTAGATACATTTTTTCCTCTTCCCCACTTCTTTTTTTCCCTGTGTCATCTATTTACCATTCAGATTAAAAAACCCCTTCACTTTTCCAAATTCTATTGTGTTGTGTCTATTGGCACCCGAAGAACCTAATCTGTGTTGTGTCATAATCCATGCATACACTCATAATTTTACTTTCTATTTTATCTGAGTTACTGTAAGAGATATCAAAAAATTTGTGAACTGATAAAATTTACTGATATTCTGATAAACGTTTTATCAGTTTACTACTCTTTGATATCTTTCACAGCAAGCGAGATATATGGGCTCAAAGTTAGTGAGGCCAATGAGGTCTGCGTTGCTCAACTCATCTCGAGCTTTTAACAAATTTATCTCGGTTACTGTAAGAGATATCGAAATTGTGTCAACTGATAAAATTTTACTGATATTCTGATAAAAATTTGATCAGTTGCCATTTTTCCGGTATCTCATACAGAAAACAAGATAAATTGGCTCAAAGTTAATAAAAGTTGAATTTCGAAAAAAGTAGTATGTCCCATTAAAAGTCCAGTGTCTCTCTATTATTGACTGTTCTATTTGTCGTGTATGTGTTGTATATACACTTTCTTATAGGACCCTAGAAGCTGAGAGAGAGAGAGAGAGAGAGGGAGAGAGAGAGAGAGAGAGAGAGAGAGAGAGAGAGAGAGAGAGAGAGAGAGCGAGAGAGAGAGAGGGGACAAGAAATGTTTGTTGTAGAATTATCAGAGAAGGAGAGGGAGACAGCTCCGAGTGGATGGAGCCCAAGCAAATACAATCAATGTGGCGGCGGTTTTGGAGAGGCACCGTCCTTCTCCTCCTCCATCATAAGCCGACTGGAATCTATGCTCGCGGACGGAGCATTTTGGAGCCAATACATGCCTGCCTTGCGGAGAACGATGAGCAATATACAGAAAAAAGGGTTTTTTTCGGGCAACAACTTTTTTGGGAACTGTCAAGAAGAAAAGGAGCAATGTTTGTTTTGCATGGTTAGGGAAAGAGTTGTAAAATTGGGAAACATATTTTTGCGATGTCTAGACTCGCAAAAAAAATAAACTGACCACAGAATTGATATTGGAAAAATACAAAAATTGGGAATTGTGATGGCAAATGTGAAATGGGAAAAAAAATTTTCTTAAAAAATAAAAAATCGGAAAAAATTCTGAAAAAAAACTGGAAATCTGAAAAACTTAGCATTCTAAAGAGAGACTGAAGTCGAAAAAAAATCGTTACGATGTAATCGAAAAATTAGAAAAATCGCTGATTTTAATGGAAAATTTGAAACGGAACAGTATACCGTAAACACTCTAATATAACGTCATCCGAATTGTCAAATGTGAGCCCATGCATCTCATTTTCTGTGAAATATATTTAAAAGTGGTTAACTAAAGAAATGTTGCTGATCTGATGCCAAACATTTTATTAGTTAACAACTTTTTGGTATCTTTCAAAAGAAGTGAGATATATAGGCTCAATGTGGACGGTCCGGGTGGCTTTCTTTATGAGTATTTTCAAAATATTTAAGGGAAAAATGCTGAAAAAATCTGGGAATCTAAAAAAAATCTAGAAGCTTAAAAAGAACTATGATCTATGAAATTTAAGAAGAAAATAAAAAAAACTAACACTAAAATCAACGAACAACAGTTGATTTTAATGAAAAATGTGAAATGGTAAAAAAAGCTGTTAGGGTTGTTTTTTTTGATATATCAAGAAATTGGAAAAAAAATTAGCTAAAATGTCTTCAAGCACTCAAGAAGTCTCTTTGGCAATTTCACTCTTTGAAATCGAAAAATGCTAGAAAAAATCCAGAAACTTCAACGAATGAAAAAACCAAACATTTCAATATTTTTGAATTTCATGAAACCTAGAAGATTTTCTAATTTCAAAAAGTACAGTGAATAAATCATGAAAACAGTGAATAAAAAAAATCTTTGATTGTTTCTCGAATCTTAAGAAAATGAAACAGTAGAAACAACTTTTAAATTTCAGAAGGTTTTTTTTTGAAATCTGTAACATTTTTGGGGTGGTACAAAGGGTGAGAACTTTTCGCGTGAGAACTGCTACAAATGAGAACTCGTACGAATAAGAACTCTTAAAATACAGGTCAGAACACGGATTTTTTTGGAAAATCTTGAAGTGTTGTGAAGAGCGAGACCATTTCGAAACTATTTTTCTGAGAAAGTTGGATCCTGAGCCGGAAATTGGAGCCGATAAACTGAGTTCTCATTTTATAGTTCTCATTTTTAGCAGTTCTCACGTAAAAAGTTCTCACCCTTTGTACCACCAATTTTGGCTTTAATTTTCACGGATTAGATTTCGAAAATTACAATTTTTCTGAAAAAAAATGAGAAAAAAAACAATTTTGAAAACCGCAACTTTGAAAATTAACAGACGTTACACTGAAAATTTTTCAAAAGTAACATTGTGTCCAAAGTCGTGAAACTAAATTTCTGTTTCAAATACTTTAACTTCCAAAAACAGTAAAAATATGCTTACCATTATTTTTTTTCAAAACATAAATCAAACCCAATTTCTTCTTTAGGTGTTATTTTTGTCTACCTCCTCCTCAACGCTATCAAAAATCAAACACGCCCACTCAAAAAATGTTTGTGATACGCCTTATCACTAGAGGAAAAAAGTATAGTACAGACATAAATACCTACATGTTTATACTTAAGACTCAAAAATAACAATTGGGGAAATATAATGCAGTAAAAAGGGAAAATGGATATGACTGATGAAATAGCCACAAAAGAAAAAAAAGATAATAACTAATTCCATGAGTTAGAAAAAAAACAATAACAGCTGATTTTCAGATGGAGGATAACTAGTGAAACCAGAATAAGGATAAAATCAAGACTTCAGGAAACTAAAAAAAATGATAATTTTTTTCAAAATTTTTAATGTTTCAATAACAGCATAATAAAATTTGTATAGTTTATAGTGATGATGCGGAAAACAAAATACCTAAGTTGTTGGGAAGAAAAGAAAGTCCAAAAGCTAGGATTCAAACCCTTTTTTAGTTTTAATTTTGTAAAATAAGGAACCTAGAAATGAAAAAAAATGGTGTTCGAAAAGCTGTTAAAGATTTTTGAATTCGAAAGTTCCCACTTCTCTCCAGTAATGATAGTATATCGAAAAATCAAAAATTAGTCAAAAAGTTGACGAAAAAATTAAATGTTTTCATAGCCCGTTTCATAATTCTATTATAAGAAAACTTGAAAATCTGAAAAGTTGGTAATACATGTGTCACATAAACCATATATTGAAATTAAGATTTTTGTTTTCAGTGTGTCAATGTTTCGTATAAATTTGAAGAAAATATACAAAGCTGTAGATTAGAATTTGATAGATTTTATCTGAAACAGTATTTTGTTAGTCAATTTCTGGCCTTATTTGAATACAATACAATACAAAAATACAGTAAATCACTGTTACAGATAGCCACTTGGGTTCAAGCCAATGGGTCAGAAATCGCGCCCCAGTAAACGTGAGATTTTAGAAAAATATTATTAAATATTTTCTGGCCTAAAAGTTATTTGGGGCGCGTTTTTTGACCGGCTGGCTTGAACCCAAGTGGATAACTAGTTTCTAGAGATATAGTTAATCAAACGCTTCGCTCGAAATTCCAACCATACAACCTATAGTTAATGGATTATACCCCATTTATCTCGGTTCCTTCAAAGAATATCAAAAAGTGATTAATTGACAAAAAATATCATGCTATCAAAAGTATTTTGTTAATTGACCACTTTTCAATATCTCTTATAGAAATCGAGATAAGGTTTTACCAACAAAAAAATCTGTTACAGATAGCCATCATTAATTAGATTGAAATTTAGTTCTTCACTGTTTTGTTTTTATCGATCGTGTTTTTTCCAATGCAAAAATAATTCGAAAAACTTGTTTTGAAATTTTTCAAGGCGTTTTTTTTTGAATAAAATTTTTTGTTTGAGATAGCTATAAATCGAAATATGGTTCAATAACATTATATTTTAAAGGTTGCAGTTTCAATTAGCTAGGATCAAGTTTGTAGATATTCAATAGATATTCAATAGGTAAACAGAAAAGAGTAAGTAGAAAAAATTACACAAAAATGAAACTTGTGAACTCAAAAGTCAGAAAATCCGGTAAACTTATTAAAACCGAGATAATTAAGCTCGAAATGCAAGGGCAATTACGGTGTTCAAAGTTTCAAATACTATCGGAATTTTTACCAAAACTACTGTTTCCATTAGCTAATAAGAGTACTAGAGGAAATATGTTCAATATTCAGAAGGGCTTGAGAAATCGTAAAAAGTTATAGCATTGATGATTTTGAAATAGAAAATAAGAACAAAACTTCAAAAAATCAAGAGCAAAAATTCCAGTTTCAGTTAGCTAGAATTAAGTTGACTAATAGTAAACTTTCAAGACTAATAGTAAGAATTTTTTGAATCACTGGTTATCGTATTCAAAAAAAATACTTTTTAAGTTAGGACCTAAAAAGTAAAGTTATTAAGACTAGTTAATGCGCGAAATTCATTAAAATTACAACTGCCTTTAAAATTCAAAGACATTGAAATCCGCGAAAATCAATGAGTTCCAACTAACTGTGTTGAAAAACGGATGAAGAAAACGGAACACAGAGAGACAAAGAGAGAGAGAGAACGAAAAGAAGAAAAGGAACTTCTCAAGGTATTGTCGAGGGGTCGCAAAGTGGTCAGCAGCAGTCACACACACAGCAGTGTATATGATGATGATTCGAGGAGAGCGCCAGAGAGAAGGCCGCCCGTGGAGGACACACTGTATTTCCTCCATACGGGCGGATCATTTGAGAGAGGGATAAGAGACGCAGACATTATCCACCTTTTGGGGACTGTTTGTCTGCGCACCGGAGAGGGAGGAAGAGATTCAGATTGAGAGAGGGATTTTTGTTTACTTAAGATGGGCGGTGGACACCTTGAAACTTTTAGGTCTGCTCTTGGCTTGGGTGTCTTCGAGAGATTTACAAGAACCTGTAATAGAAGGACCCTTTTCAATTTTGAGCCCAATTATCTGAATTTCTGCAAGAGATATCAAAATTTTGTGAACTACATAAATGTTGGTGATATTCTGAGAAATATTTCATCAGTTGACAACTTTTTGATATTTTTGACCGGTTTCGAGAAAAGTTGACTCAAAGTTGGATGTAAAAGAAATAAACCGAATAGGTGCAAACTAGCTATTTTTGAAGCAAACTGTGGATCTTATTAGAAGGAATCATACGAATCAACTAATGGAGATAGTTTAAAGCAGCAAGTTTCAGGACTGAGCGGTCGAAAAGTTGGCTGCGAACTGAATGGTTCTCTCAAACTTTCGATTTAAAACGAAATCGTAGGAATGGGAAAATCAGGTGAACTAAACAATGTTTCATATGTTGGCAACACTGCAATTCAAACTTTTTTCTCAGAATTTCGAGGTTTTTACCAAAAAATAGATCCATCTTTAGAAATCATAACAAATTTGAAACAGATACTTTTTTTTACTTTTTAAAAACTTTTTTCCAAATTTTTGGAAAATCTAAACGTTAGAGGAAAATTTGTAGCGAATTTTGTGCTAATTGTAATTGAATTAATAATAGTTGAAGTGAGAAATACAGCTGCAGCAAAAAGGTGAATTTTTTTAAATAGCCATAACCAATGTGAAACAGAAATGTAATGAAGTTTAATATTTTTGGTCGAAGGGTATATTCTGAATAACCCCTTTTACTAGTGTTCTTCTTATTTAAATTTTTAAAGATAAATGAAAAATTAATAGAAATACAAATATATAAAAACCCCAGAAAAGGCGTCTAAATCGTACAGAGAAGAAAAAAATCATACCGAGAGAGAATTGTACCAAGCGAACTACATATTAAAACTCGCTTAGTAATCATCATCATTTTGAAGCGGTGAACCGTTGAACTTTTATATAACTTTTTTGTATAAGTCATACAGAAAAAAAAAACGGCTCCGGGACAATTCGAAAGTGGACATTTCGAAAGTGTGGTAATACGGGCGAATGAACGAATTTCAGACTACAAAAACTATTTTAGGGTTTTCAAATGTGCTTTTTCTGATAGAACACATTCTGAAATCCGAAAAAATTCAAAATTTAATTTAAAAAAAAACTTTTTTCGAATTTTTTGATTTTCAACATCTACTTCTTACTAATTGTAAGGAAACTTTTCTGTCTGTGTCTGTCTGTCTGTCTCAGACATTTACTTGAATAACTCAAAGGGACATAGGACTATAGTGGTGTGTGGCATGTAGTCATGGACTGCCGAGCGCTTCATGTCTGTGGTGTCCTGGGCCGTCTAGCTAACAGGAAACCTACAGGGCTCATAATCGAAATTTTCAAAGTTTTTCTCAAACTCAATAAAACTTCACGAAATTTTGCAAAACGGTGTTTTGACCTATCTATGTGCTGCCTACATAAAATTGAGCACAAATCTTCAAAACTGAAAATTTTTGAAATTTTCGTTTTTTTTTGTATATCACTTAAATTTCGATCCTGTGGACTACTGGAAATGCGTCATAGTAATTTTCTTCTAAATACAAGGTTCTTAAGAATTATGCAGAAAGTTACAGAACATTGCAGAAAATTCCGGAAAATTCCAGAAAATTTAAGAACATTCTAGAAAATTCCAGAAAGTTCCAGAAAATTCTAAAACATTCTAGAAAATTCCAGAAAATTCCAGAAAAATTCAGGAATTTCTAGAAAATTCCAGAAAATTCCAGAAAATTCCAGAACATTCTAGAAAATTCCAGAGCATTCTAGAAAATTCCAGAAAATTCCAGAAAAATTCGGAGCATTCTAGAAAATTCCAAAAAGTTCCAGAAAATTCCAGAAAGATTCAGAACATTCCAGAAAACTCCCGAAAATTCCAGAACATTCTAGGAAGTTCCAGAAAATTGTAGAAAATTCCAGAAAGTTCCAGAAAGAAAGTTCTTTAACATTCTGTAACAAAAAATTCTAGAAAAAAAAGAATATTCCAGAAAAATCAAAAAAAAATCCAGAAATTTTGAGAACATTCTAGAACATTCCAAAAAACTCCAAAAAATCCAAAACATTCACGAAACCTTTAGAAAATTTCAGAATAGTCCTGGAAATTCAAAAAAGTTCAAGAATATTCCAAGAAATTCCAGAAATGTCTCGAACTTTTTCAAATTTCAGCTTTTTCTATAAAAATATTGCAACCTTTTTTCTATAATTCCATTGTGATTTAAAACCAAAGGCTTAGAAATAATAATGTATGGGTAATCCGAAAATTCAGGAAGAAAATTAGAATACTTAAAAAACTAGGAAATGCAGAAATTCGAAAATCAGGGATTTTTGATTAGAAATTCGAGACTTTAGAAACTCAAAAAAATTGCATTCTCTTTTCAAGAAACATGTATTCTGTCATGTAGAAACTCGGAAATTCAGAAAATCGGTTATTTTTTTTTTAACCGACAAGACTTAACAGAAATTATCAAAAAACTGAAAAAAAAGTACGTCTGTTTTATCAAAAGTGGTCTTCAAATAGATGTGGGGTTCTATTAGAGAAAATCCGGTACCCAAAAATTCTGACTTTAGGAAAATCAAAAGTTTCGGGCACTCGGGAAATTCTGAAATTAGAAAACAAAAACCAGGAGGTTGAGCCCCCGGCAGGGGGCTCAAACCGATTGGTGTGTTCTATCAGAAAAAGCACATTTGAAAACCCTAAAATAGTTTTTGTAGTCTAAAATTCGTCCATTCGCCCGTATTACCACACTTTCGAAATGTCCCGGAGCCAAAAAACTCATAGTGCGCTCCACCGCACTTCAGCTAATTTCAATCAAACAACTTTTTGATAAGCTATTTACCCAACATTTACAAGTTTTAATGCTAAAACTTAAAATTCTGTTTCATTTCAGTGATGTAACTCTCTTCTTGTGTCATTAGTCGCCTCGAAGAGCCAAGTTTGATTATCTATCATCCTGTGAGAAACATTTTAAAAAAAACTGTTAACTAATAGAATGCGGATGATATTATTTCACACATTTTGTTAGTTGACCAATTTTCAAAAACTTAATTGGTAACCGGAATAATTACGGTCCAAAATAAGACATAGCAAAGAGAGAGGCAGCGTTGGTACATAGAGCTTTAGAATCTTGAAATTAGACTTGTCGATTAGTGACCACGGAGATACAGAAATATCTAGTGGTTGTATGTTGTTTAAAATTGAATGGCAGTTTGAATTTTTCTGTTACCTCTTCCAAATTTCGAGATATAAAGGATAGAAAAATCCTTTCATAGTCTCACAAACGCATTCCATTTTTATATGTTTCAATTTGCTAATTTATCAAAACAATGTTCTCTCTTAATCACTGGGAATTTCCCAGTGGGAAAGTGAAATCAGATTCTGTGAATTAGCCTTTAAGATATCAGAAAATTAAGATCATGCCACTAATGAAAACCATTATGGAACAGTAACTTTTTCAAACTTGAACTATTTTAGAAAACAAAGGAAATGTTTCATTTATCGTCTTTTGCATTAAAGGTGGTGTGCGAGNNNAACTCATTGAATTTAGGAGAACAATTTCAAAATATTCAATATGGCTGAAACTGAGAAAAAACTCATTTAATACATTTTTCCGTTTCGAGGACTTATTTTTCTCAACGATTTTCTAACGGTTAGTAATTGGTTAGGAGTTCTTAAAGGTGGGGGGACAGGAGATTTTTCGTAGTTTTTTTTGTAGCTAGAGTATGCATTCTACCGTCACGGTGTACAACGCTTAATGTCACTCTGCGTACAGCTGTCGTCCTCGCCTTTATGTATGCAATCGGGCGTGCGCTTTCTCTTTATCCGCGTGGCTCAGTCGGTAGCGGCGCCGCACCCTCTTCTGCGCCCTCACAAGTTCAACTCCTCGAGGGGCATCTTTGAACGGAATTTCGAGAACATTATTTTTTTCATGTCCCCCCACCTTTAA